CAGGACGGCAATGGATGGCGTCAAAGACCCGCCGTGGGTGCTGTGGTGCTCCCCCGACTGGTCCAATATTTCTGGATGGAAGCGGTGCATCCCACATGAAACCCCCATCGTCATCCCCCTTCTGAGTCACCAACCGCCAATGCCCCTCGGCCACCATCCCGCCCAGATATCTCTGCCTGGCCTGGCCCTGACCAGTAGCCGCTGGCGGCCGAGACCGGAAACTGCAACCAACCGCTTTTCGATTACGCCGCCCTCCGCCCGCCGCCTTTCTGGGGCCATATGCACTGACCCGGAGCACTGGAAACTGAGAGTCCAGTGTCTGCTTGGGCTCCGCTCGCAGGTCGAGTGTAATTGCCGGGCCTGTGCCCCGGAGCAAACGGTCAAGGTGGACAACCGTAAGTACCCCTGCTATCCTTTGCACAATGTCAACCGAAATGCGAATAGCAGTGTCCAAGGTATGTTGATAGAGAGCAAAGTATATGACGGGCAAGCATAAACCCACCAATATCCTCTGACCTCATCGAGAAATCAAATCCACAATCCCAACCAAAGGAAGTGCAATGGCACCCAGGAGGTTGCTCGTTCAACCCGACGAGGCCGGCATATCAAACAGCCGGGCAGTTGCATATCATCCCGCCCATCCGTATCGAAAGACTTCTCTGGGAGCAAACACCAGAGTCCCAACAATGAAGGGCCGATCGTCTCACACTATATTCCGTGTGCAAGGGTTGCTTTAGATTACTATCGGCTCTCTCGCGAAGTACAGTGGGATGAAAGGTGAAATCATTGCTTCCAATTTCAATCAGATTTGCTCGACTCCTCAGACTGGAGGCCTTTGAACACCCTCAGATGCTTCCATCCTCTCTTCCAGGCAACACCCAGCTGGAGTCATCGGCAACCCCACCATCCGAACCACCCCCCCAATCCAACGCAGATATCTTCATGTGTCCAGCAGCGTTATATGTGCCCCTCCCGGACCTTCCAGTCCCCACTGCACCAAAATCGACCAGAAACAGCGCCTCAAAGATTCGTCAAAACTTCCAACCCCCGACGGACCTTCTCCTGCTGCTGCAGCTTGCCATGCCCCGAGAAACCGTGCCGACAACTTGAACTGAACCCCACCTCCCCTGTACCTAGCCAGCTGGCCTCCCTCTGCTCATCTTTCCCCTCCGCCTCTCACCGCTTACGCAAACCGTTGGAACCACGCCATCTTCTCTTGCCCTGGAACCACTGGATCCAGGTGATGATTCCGCCACAAGGGGTGTGGGGCGAGGTTTGAGGGGCGTTTGAGTATGGACTTCTGGACGCTCACGCGAAGGCCAAGGGGTCCGGTGCTGGCGAGGACTTGGTCAAAGTTGATCCTGTATTTCTGAGATGTGGATGGCAGTGAGTGACCCGAGCCGTCATGTCGATGATGTGCCACATCACGGGGAGGTGGGGGTGGTCTGACAGAGGAGGGAGGAGAGCGTGATGGGGGGACAGCTTCAGCGGGCTCTGACTTTGAATCTTGCTGGTATTCGAGCAAGGGTTACGCTTTCTTGTGTGGTTGAGCCGCGATGCATGGGGCAAAAGCTTCGCTTGACGACATGTGATGTGGTCAAGTCATGGCGGAAGCTTTGCTCACCGTCTTGCGACATCAGCAATGTATCAGCTTGGGTATGGTCAGAGTGTTGCATCACTGGATGGTACACAGGTTGTAAGCATTGCGAGTCTCCCAGGTAGACCGTCGTCATTGTTATTTCTTTGCAGAGGTGAAGCCATCAAGGCCATCAAGAGGGGGGGGAGGTGGGGGGGGGGCGCCAAGAGACCTCTCCCCGCATTGCCAGGTTCTCCGCAGCGCCGATTTGCTTGCATGGGCCACTCGTTGGGGAAAAAGATAGATCATGGATCCTTCGATGCCCATGAACATTGAAGAGGACGGACTTCTCCCTGCTTCGTAGATTATCGCCCGCCATCTCGGTGGGAATGGATATGTTGATGGAAAGCCCAGGTGGGTGAGGTTCGCCCCGGCGAAGGCCGGAAATCTTTCGCGTCTCGGGATGGATGGCCAACATTATCGCAGGTTGTTCCCCTCCCAGCGGCGAGTGGGGAGTCTCGAGTTCGTGTTTGCTGCCGGTCGTCTCGGTTGGCGTACCACACCCTCGGCTGGAAAAGAAAAGGAGAAGTGCTGGACATCAGTGGCCATGAATTTGGTGAAAAAATGGCACCGCATCGTCAACATGGCCATCACATGTGTCAGGGCATGGAAAGCTTGAAGTTGACATTGAGGTTCCAGGGAGTCCGAGGTGGGGGCCGGGGGCGGGCCCGGGGGCAAATTGGCCTGGAATTGCTGCGGAGAAACATCCTGCTGGCGGCCCCTTTTCCAGAGGCCAGAGCAGCCCACGAACCAACAGCAACGCGGCTGCCCGGCACCACTGTGGACTTCCCGCCAAGGACGACCCTTCGTCAAGTTTCGATGTCAGAGAAATCGCGTTTCCCAATGGAAATTAGAATCCCCGAGCTGCGGCGAGCGGCCGCCGCGATTCCTCCGCCCTCCCACCCATCGCGACTCTCCTCTCGCTCGACCGATCGATACAACAAACGCCACCGTCCAGCTGTCGCGACCTCTCGACGCCCGAGAGTCCCGAATACAGCCACCCGACCGCCGAATCGAAACGTCCGACCGCATGCCGAGGTCCGATTGAGTCGCGTCGTGCTTCTCTGGACGCGGTACCCGACCCGACCACAGGGGCGCTCTCGCCATGCCCAGCGACATACCAGACACATCTGAGGCGAAAGAGTGGGAGGGGGACCAGTCTACCGGATACCGCCTCGGGCGACTACTTCGAAAGTCCTTCCTGAGCTTTGCGCTGCTGCGCTGGGTCTTCTGGCCGACACCATCGACCGGAAGCAGCAGTCCACCCACTCGATTACGACCCACGGCATACCTCGATGGCCTCCGGGGCTTCGCCGCCTTGATCGTCTACTGGCACCACCACGAGCTGTGGCCGCGCAGCAAGGCGCAAACCGACATCATCGAGAACGCGTTTGGCGCCAACGGACAATACTACTTTGCCGCCTTCCCCGGCATCCGGACCCTGTTCGGCGGCGGACACTGGGCCGTGGCCACCTTCTTCGTCATCTCGGGGTACGCCCTGTCGGTCAAGCCGCTGGGCCTGATACACGCCGGCGACCAGGCCAAGGTCGCCGACAACCTGTCGTCGGCCCTCTTCCGACGGTGGCTCCGGCTGTTCCTCCCGCTGATCTGCACAACCTTTGTGTACCTGACCTCGTGGCACGTCCTCGGGATCTGGATCAACGGCGCGAGCCCACGCGAGACGTACCTGTCGGAGCTGTGGGCGTGGTACGCCGAGCTCAAGGGGTTCAGCTTCGTGTTCCACCTGGGCGGCGACCCGTGGTTCACGTACAACTTCCACCTCTGGTCCATCCCCGTCGAGTTCCGCGGCTCCATCGTCGTCTACACCAGCCTGCTCGCGCTCTCGAGGTGCACGCGCAACGCGCGCCTGTGGCTCGAGGCGGGCCTGGTCTTTTACTTTCTGTACATTGTCGACGGCGCGCACTTTGCCATGTTCGTCGCGGGCATGCTGCTCTGCGATCTGGAGCTGCTCGCGGCCAAGGACGACCTGCCAACCTTCTTTGGCATCCTGGGGCGGTTCAAGAAGCTCGCCGCCTACCATCTCCTGGCGGTCAGCATCTACCTTGGCGGCGTGCCCGTCGGCGACGTGGACGTGCTGCGAGACAGCCCGGGGTGGTATCTCCTGTCCTTCCTAAAGCCCCAGGCCGTGTTTGACGCCAAGGCCTTCTACCTGTTCTGGGCGGGCGTGTTCCTCGTGGCCTCGGTGCCGCATCTTCCGTGGCTGCGGCGCTTCTTTGAGACGCGCGCCTGCCAGTTCCTCGGGCGCGTCTCGTACGCGCTGTATCTTGTCCACGGTCCGATCCTCTCGGTGCTCGGTGATCGACTGTATGCGCTCGTGGGGTGGGAGTCGGAAGCCCGGAGGGAGCACCTCGCGGGGTGGATGGATGGGTTTCCGCTGTCCAAGGGGGGGCCGATGGGGTTGGAGCTGGGGTTTCTACTGCCGCATGTGGTGCTTTTGCCGTTGACTTTGTACTGTGCCGAGGTGGTGACGCGTGTGGTGGACGAGCCGAGTGTCAAGTTCCCGAACTGGTTGTTCAGGAAATCGATCGGGCAGCCGGCGGCGGGGAGGTTACCGGCGTAGACTTGAGCGCATGGCCCGTGGGGTCCGACAACCCAAGAAAAACAACCATCTTTTTTGCAAATTGCCAGCCATTGCTTCACAATCCATTTCTGGTTTGTTTGTTAGCGCGAGACATGAGAGATACTAGCCAAGGCCATCACTTGGGCCCTGAAGTTGCCACCGTTTTTCCAGGCCTTCAAACGCGGCATTCTCCGCCCCGGACTTGCAAGGCATCGGCCCGGAGAGCGATCTGGCAGTCTTTGTGGTTGTCGACCAACCACGACCGCTCCTAGAGGACTCTCTTCCTCTCCCCTCCTTCTTACCGTCGACCCGAGGGGCACCCCCTGCAGAGTGTTCGACTGTTGTTTGTTTAGGTTGAAGAGTTTCCTTGCCTTGTTGAACCGTGCAGTTTTTCCCTCCTCATCTGGATTTCCAAGACCACCGACGCCGTTCTCAACACGCTCTGGCTCCAAGGACAGCAAAAATGAGACCTGGTAGCGGGGACGTGGAGGTTCAAGTTTGTTTCCCGTCTGTCTTCTTCTCACTGCCTCGCCTTGGCTCGACGCCGGCTTGCCCTGATTTTCCGACCTTCGACCTTGGGCCCCGTAAACCCCTGATGATCTTGTCCGCCCTCTTGTCCCGACTACCCATCCGACCACGATAGCCGTGTCTAGTTCCTCGCTTGGAGCAGAACCACAGCGCGTACCGGGGCAGGATTGTCATCTGGTATCTGGGCTGTAGCGTGTGGCACGGCAGGTACTTGACAAGCAGCCAAAAAAGAGAGAAAGAAAAAAAAAGGATGTTTAACACCTGCAAGATTCGAACTTGCGCTCCCGAAGGAACTGCCTGACACGTCCTACCCATGAGTTCCTAAGGCCTTCTGTAAAGAACCCTCTCTGCAAGCAGGGATAAACTCATGGAATTCTATGGCTGTTGACATCGAACGGTCCCAAAGGATAGCAGGGCAGCGCGTTTAACCACTCCGCCAAGGTGCCATTTGATTGATGAAAATGTGGAGGGGAACTGGGTATTATCTGTTAGGGGAAGGGGAGGGGGGGAAAGAACACGTTGGAAGAGGCAAGCACGTCCTCGCAAGCGCCCCTGGCTCCAAGGACAGCCAAAATAAGAGATGAACAAAAAAGGTTGTTTGACACCTGTAAGATTCGAACTTACGCTCCCGAAGGAACTGCCTGACGCGTCCTACCCTCCATGAGTTCCTAAGGCCCCCTGTGAAGACCCTCTCTGCAAGCAGGGATAAACTCATGGAATTCTATGGCTGTCTCGAACGGACTCAAAGGATAGCAGGGCAGCGCGTTTGACCACTCCGCCAAGGTGCCTGTGATTGATGAAGGTGGAGGGGAATTGGGAATTATCTGGTAGGGGAAGGGGGAATGGGGGAAGGGGTGAGGGGGGAGGGGAAGGTGTGGAGTGAAAGAACATGTTGGAAGAAGTCCCGATCGTCGTCCCGGCCGCCGTCCCCGGGCTCCCTCCCCTCGAGACTCGCGACTCGCGCGTCCAAAGCCCACAATCTTCGTGGCCAAAAGACCAAGGGAGATCAGTGACCCTCTCGAGCACAAGGCTGACATCGGGCGCTCGCGACTGCCGCTGCCAGACCACAAGACTTTTGTCGCCCCGATCTCGACAAGCCTCCTTGGACCACAAGACTCTCACGACCATGTTGCCCATCAGAAGCTCCAGACCTGGCCATTTTGGCTGTGGTTTCTGGACCCTGCAAACAAGCACCAGACGCCAGTCGTCCTCTCCGTTCAAGACATTCGGCCTCTCGCGACGCGGCCCAAAGCCTTCGGCCCCGGGCCATGCAACAAACAAGAAAACAAGGACTTGGCCCGCGCCACGCCACCTACTCGTGCGCATCGTCGCCAGCAGTGCCTGCAGAGTCCAAAGCACAAGAACAAGATGGATGGAATGGAATATACTCAGGTGGATGGCAAATAGAGACTTGCTCGACGGCGAGCCTTGTAGCGATTGGAAGATTGTCACGGCACATGGTTCTTGGCCAACCGCCATATTGGCCGGACAACGGCTCGTGCAGCCCCTATTTCCACTAAACATACACCCCATCCACTTGTATGCAGCTATTCGCAAACACTTCAGAGTCAACAATCCCCTCAACTTCAGATGGCCGCAGTAGGTCGGCAATTACTTACGGCAGATGATGGAAGAAACTTACAGTCGTTCAACTCCAGGACATACAGCGCCTTCGGAAGCCCGAACTCACCGATCGGCATCGTCTCGACGGAAACAGCACGCTCGTTCCCCCCCTCACCAGCCCCATCTGGCAGAAAGACAAGCCTGTTCTACATCAGGATGAAGCGCGGGTCTGCAGCGACCAGTCTGGCGCGCAGGGTGGGAATGTCGGCAACGTCCACCTCTAGATTCTTTCCACTTTGCAGACACAGACAATTCAGGGGCTCTTTATAGGTAAGCAGCCACAACCCCAACAGTTGCCGTCTTGCGCGCCGGGCCGGCATCACTTTGACCTCAGGGGCTGACAGAGGAGCCCCATGTAGGTCAGTCCCTGAATTTGGAACCATATGCCCTTCGCTTGGAGCTCGGACACCTATATTTCTGCCGACGACGTCCTAAAGTTAGGATTGGAGGGGTTGAAGTCGAAATTCAAGGTCATGAAGCAGGTACCGGATACCTCTCCCTTAGAGCCGGATACCTATATTTCTGCCGACCAGGCCCTGAAGTCTGAATTAAAGGTCTTCAAGTTAAAATTTGAGGTCCTGAAGTTGGAACCGGATACCTTTCTCTCGGAGCTTTACACCTATGCTTTTGCACACCAGGTCCTGAAGTTGGAATTGGATACCCTTCTCTTGGAGCTGGACACCTATACTTTTGCCGACCAGGTCCTGAAGTTGGAATTGGAGACATATGATTTTGTGCAAGAGGTTACAGGGATGGACAGGACTCGGAACCTCCCGGGGACTAGGTCTTCCCCTCCAACTTCTCCTTCCCAACTTCTCCCTCCCAACTTCTTGACGGGCCGTCACCCTCCTCGCTGCCATCACCATCGCACCGGACCACACCCTCGCCACACTCGCCGCACCCGCACTCGCCGCAACCGCCATTGCCGCAGTACCAAACCTCGCTGTTAGGTTGGTTCAACTTCGTATTCTTTACAACTCGCCTCCTTTGAGGCAGTTGTATCGTTTCTTGTTGTCCCCAAACAACTCACTTCCTTTCAAGCGGTTGGCCTGTTCTTGTTGTCTCCGAACAACTCGTCTCCTTTGAGACGGTTGTATTCTCGTTGGTAATTGATACCGCGACCCGAGTAACTCCCTCGCCCACCCTGACTTCGACTCGTCTCCTTTGAGACAGTTGTATTCACTCCAAGTTCATTCTTGTGTACGCCCTCCCATGTCAACAACATCCACATGATCCCGGGGTTATAAGCTAACCATGTCGCCTAGATCACAAACCAGCTCCCTCGTCTACCCCTGATTTCGACTCGTCTCCTTTGAGACAGTTGAATTTACTTGTCACCCAGAGAGCGTAAGTATTCCCCGGTCCCTGTCACATCAAACGGCCCCTTGGATTCCACCGCTAACCATGGGCTGCAACAGACCATTCGTCACCATGACTCCCTTCAAACGCCCAGGCCCTTTGGGCTCGCCGTCCTCTGCCTCGTCAGCTGCATCGGCAACCAAACCTAGACGATCCGCCCGCACCACAGCGAGGTCTTCTACCTCATCGTCCGGCTCGCCGTCTGCCTCGTCGTCTGCCTCGTCGTCTGGCCCGCCGTCTTCCTCGTTGTCCAGCTCGCCGTCCTCCTCGTCAGCTGCATCGGCAACCAAACCCAGACGATCCGCCCGCAATACAGCGACGTCTTCTACCTCGTCATCCGGCTCGCCGTCCAGCTCATCGTCCTCTCCCTCCGAGCCGTCACCACATGCAGCACCGGTCCGCCGGTGTCAACTGAAAAGATCAACATCGGATGCCGTACGTATACTCCATGCATGGTTTTTTGTCGGCAAGGAGAACTCTAGTCGAGTGATGCTTTTTCGTCGCCGGTCTTCTCTACAATGCTATACTTTCCGTCCCGTGTTTTTTTTTCCACTGCCGGTCAAGGCTTTCTGCCCTTGTGTCGAGCTCCAGTCGAGTTTGTGACCCCCCGGCTTTGTCGGAGCTCCAGTCGAGGTTGTGACCCCCCCGCTTTCGAGGTTGTGACATACTTACCCCCTGGTATCGAGCTCCAGTCGAGTTTGTGACCCCTCCACTTTCGAGGTTACAACATACCTACTTACCCCCTTGTGTCGAGCTCCAGTCGAGTTTGTGACCCCCCGCGAGGTTGTGACACACTTACCCCCCTTGCGTCGAGCTCCGGTCGAGTCTGTGACCCCCCCCCGCTTTGGCGGAGCTCCAGTCGAGGTTGTGACATACTTCCCCTCCGTGTCGAGCTCCAGTCGAGTTTGTGTTGTCAAACTGCAGGCCCACGTGCCAAAACACTAGATGCACAGCCCCTTTCCATTGCCGCTGAATTGCCAACACAACCCACTGGGAATGGCCTCATTGCAAGTCACCATCGCTGGCGCCTCACCTGAGGTTGCTATGGCTCCCAGCTGCTCATAAATAGGTGGCCATGCCTCACAGATAGCATCATCTCTCTCTAGTCAATACATTCAATTTCACTTTACTGCCACTCATGACGGCCTCGTCCGCCTACTATTTGACCCTTCCATCCATCATATTCCATGTGATAAAAGCTGAACACTCGGGCCACCAATACCCCGAAATCACCGAACACTTCAAGTTGCTCTCTTCCCCTTTGCCGGCCGCGTTGTCTTCTGCACAACATCAAACTGCCCTCAGCCCCTCGTCAAATTCACGTCTCTCTATCTTGCTCGTCTGCCACATGCAGTGTTCTGGCTTGATCTCATTTCAGCTTTCTCTCAAGTCCTCTTCCAATTGTCGAGTTCAACCGTCGCTTGGCACAATCCACTGACATTTCCCGTAGTCAGTACCAGCTCAGCCGCCTAAGAGACGCCGAGTGCAAGAATCTCTCGAGGACTCTGGTCAAGATGACAACGATGGCGGCGTCGTCGACTCGGTCGACTCGGACGACTCAAACAACTCGGACGACGACGACAACTCAAATGACTCGTACAACGATGACAACTCGGATGGCGACGACAACGATGACGACTCGGACTTCTTCGACGATGACGACCCCGCCGCCGACTTACCCCCCGCCCCCCCTCTCTCACTGGACTTGACAATTTCGAGGAAGACGGAGAAGCCCCCGCGGAGCACGAACCCCAGTTTTGTCGCCCCCTTTGTATGTTTCCTTACTTCCCGATGTCGTCTTGCAGCCGGACACCTGGATTAGGTAGGAATTAAAGGTCTTAAAGTCGGAACAGGAGGCGTATCAACCTATTCCCCGGCATATTGTTTATATGCCAGCAGAGATTAAGGGATAAGACTAGATACCCCGAGTTCTAACTTTAGGACCTTACCGGTGAAGAACCAGGCATCCTGCTCTTACTTCAGGGCCAGATTAAATAAAAAAAGGCATCCGGTTCTGACTTCAAGACCTGGTCGGTGTTACGGGGCTAGGCTTGGCGCCTGCCCCAGGTCATCGGAATAGGGTTGATCCCTACTCCTGGCTTGGCACCTACACTGGCAGGGCGGAGATAAATCCCCATCTTCTGTAGACTGCGGGAAAGGTGTCCTTTTCCTCTCCATAGAAGATTCAATCCACACTGCGCCTGCAACCTGATTCCACTACTCTTGCAGATCCGTTACATATCTTCTATCCTCTCGACTACGCCCTCGCGAGAGTATTTCCTTATACCGGTGTATTGAATCTCTCGCGCGCGCGCCCTCTTTTTTCCGCGCTCCAGCCGCTCTTTTTACCCCTCTTTTCCTTCGTCTTTTTCTGGAGCTCCCGCTCCCTCTATGGCTTCCCCTACGCCGCCGCCGCCCCCGCGGCCGATAAACGTCCCTTAGGACGCTAGTTAAGACGTCCGGA